TGGCTTTCTACATTCTACAGCTGTATGATGTCAACTCTGGTAAGGGCAAGTCCTTCTCTAACCTGGAGGAGGCCTCAGGGTCCAGTCCAGTATAGAAATGCATTTTGCAACACCCTGAGAAATGCATTTTACAACACCCTGAGAGAAGGGTACCTCCACTGTTGCTTGAACATATACAGTTCTGCAAAGTTCTTCACCGAGCAGCTGACTCCACTGAGGGACAGCTCTAAGCTACTTGGAAATTTCTTTTCACATAAAAGCCAAAATTATCCTCCGTAATCCTCCAAGAGTTAACTTTGCTCTTACTATGCTAAGGTCCCTCCATGAAAGACGTTTATCTTGTCTATATACAATCATAAAATAAGCAGCGGAAAACTGAGACGCAGTAGACTCTGTACAGTACACATAACAAGGAACTCAGTGGGGTGTGGACATAAGGACTCAGAGACAGGAGAGGTCGAGGCTGACACTGGATGCTGGGCCTGGTATGAACACATGTACATGAAAGAGTGCACACACACGTGCCAGGAACTCGAATAAACTCCAAGCTCCAGCAGAGGAGCTTGCAGCTCCGTGTCAACACAAGTCCTAGTGCAGAGCAGAGGCTGGGCATACAGCAAGGCTCAGGTGTAACTCAGACCTTAGGCATTAACTACCAACAGTTTGACCCTGGACTAGTTCTTTAACTCCTTCACACCTCAGTTTTGACATGTGTAAATTGAAGATAATGTTATGTATACCTAGGAGTTATTATGAGGATCAAAAGAAATAATCCATATACAGCTGCCACTGCAGAGCTTCACCCAGAGTAGGTACTCAATCAGAATGGTTATCATATCTAGATCCATGTATGGAAGGCATAAAAACCTTTGCGAATACTACATTGTTATGTCTCATAAGGAACATGTTATCTAGAATAAATGCAAATCAAAACCACATATGTAACACCACGTGGCTCCTGCTAGAATGACTAGGATGGGCTACTGTCTGTCAAAAGACAGAAAATAACAAGAGTCAGGGAAGACATGGAGAAACCTTATATACGACTGGGAGGAATATAAAAGGGTGCAGCCACTTTGGAAAATGGGTTGGCAGTTGCCCAAAAGGTTAAACCTAAAGTTACCATATAACCGAGCAATTCCATTCCTAGGTACACACCCAACAGAAATCAGAATACTTCCCGTCAGGGCAAGGAG